AAGGAGGTAGGTAAATTTTATATGATGCACAACATCACAACATACATAGCAACCATTATTTCAAACTTCACATCCACGATGAAAGTGAAGGCAAGTACACATAGCAAAAAATGAAGAGCCACTATATATTTCGCACTGTCGTAACACACGAATTCGCAATAAGATTTTGAAAGGAAAAGCAGCCAGCATAGAAATTTGCATAATAGCAATTACCAATGATGTCTTTTCTTTCAAGAGCATTGGACAAAAAGCTCCTCTTAGAAAATGAATAAGGTAAGATATATCACTCCAAATAGTTAATGTGCGGGCCATGACCATTTGCCTATTAACGACAGAAAACCAACAACAACAGCAGGCAAAAAAATGCTAGAGAATGGTATACCGAGAATATTCGAATCATATCACAGCGCATGGTATCATAATGTTCAATAAGATTTCAATTTTTTCCTGATCTGTTAATGAAGGAGTTGAAATGGCGAAGCGGAAACGATAAGTTGGACGAGGTGCTAGTTGTTTGAAAATTTCGTTGTGGAAGCGCAGATCTCGGTATCTGTTCCGGGATGCCACCAAGCACGGGGACGCTGGCGCGATGCTGAATTTGTCGAAATTTGATAAAATAAATAAAAAGAATAAAGAAAAATGAAAAAGGCCTAGATTAGTACCTACTTTCACCTTGTCGTCTTGCGTCATGTAACTAGAGGTCGACAATGTCATTGAGGATATGGATAGAGTATCACTATCAGCACGATTAGCGTATCCACGTGTCCCAACATCAGCTTCTGAGTACGGATAGGCCGAACTCACCTAAACATGAGTTTCACAAGAACAGAAAGATTATTGTATAAAAACATTAAATGCTAATAGAAATGAATTGATCAATGATACTGAAATGTCTGCTAACCTTCTCGAGATCTGCTTCAAACCATCCAAGCTTTTCATCAATAATTCTGCTGGCTGGCAATCCTTTTATGGATTGTTCAATGGCGATGTCAGTAAAGAGATTGCCTCCGCGCTGAAATCAACGCCTTTTCATGCATGATGTAACATATCAATGCATTTATTAAATAACTTTGAGTTGCTT